ATCTCCAAAGCCTGCTGCCGTGAGAGTAGCCACGTTAGTGCCTCATCTATGTTGTCTTCCTTTTGGGATGTGAGCTTTGAGGGCCAGCCAGGACGATGAGGCTCCATTATTTTGATATCCACAGTGCCTAGCACTTAATAAGCTCTTAATAAATGTGTTGTTTTTTTCAATCCATTCTCAAAATTCCTCCTACTTACATGATTGCATATTGTGACTTTGGCTCTGAGACCAAGTTGTTAAAGTGGCTCTTTAAGACTGGGTACAGAGTGAATGAAAGTGAAAATCTCCAAGAGTTTTACCCAGCAGTGCTGGGCTGCAGCCGGCCAAGCGTCACCTATCACTTGTCTTACCAGTAGGGGTCAGCACAGTCAAACACCACTGAACATCTGCCTAAACTAGGTGGACACAGGAGCTTTAGACCCACTTGGATAAGCTTAACTTTTTCCAAAGTGCAACTTCAGTAATTCAGTAAGAAATCACTCAAAGGTGGGCGTGTCCTCCCTCCCAAACTGCCTTGTCATTAACTGCCTTGTGTTTATTCTCTAATTATCTACGGACTTGTCTTCTCTCTGAGAATGGGAATAGAGATCATCTCATGCCTTGCATTTGTATTCCCAGCAACCCACACAGTGCCTGGCACAGAGTAGCTGATTATTAAATGCTTGTAGATTGAATGAGACAATAGAAACAGGGATAGTCTCTCAGAAAGATTTACAAGCTGCAGAAAGATTCAGTGGATGCAGTTCTTGAAGGCTAGGGCTCCTGAGCGTTTGGTGCCAGAGTGGTGAGGCTATGGAGAAAGAGGAAAATGTAATAATGAGGATAACCTTTTTTTTTTTTTAGCAGACCTATAATTTCAGTGGTGCAGGGAACTCTCAGCTAAGAAAACCTTTTTTTTTTAAGGCAATTGGGGTTAAGTGACTTGCCCAGGGTCACACAGCTAATAAGTGTCAAGTGTTTGGTCTGAGGTCATATTTGAACTAAAGTCCTCCTGACTTCAGGGCTGGTGCTGTATCCACTGTGCCACCTAACTGCCCCTTCCTTTATTTTTTAAAGAATTTTTTTTATCTTGTTTTCTCTCAACTACATGTAAAACAATTTAACATACTTTTTTAAAAAATCATTTTTGAGTTCCAAATTAGGAAACTCCCTTTATTAATGTAGATTGGAATCTGCTTTGCAATTTATAATCTTGGAGATGTGCCTGGAGTACTGAGAAGTTAAGTACATTGCTTGGGGTCAGAGGCTGGAATTGAACCCACAGCCTCCTGATTCTGGGGCTAGCCCTGCAGCCACCACGGGAACTGACATTCAAATCTTACTTAAAGGTTTGAAAAGTACCCAGTATATGTTTTCTCCCTTGGTCCCTACCACATTCATGCCAGATTGAGTACTATAGGTTTATTGTCCCCTTTTACAGATGAGGAAATGGAGGCTAAGAGAGTGAGGTGATTTGCTCCTAAGTGTCAGGGGCAGGCTTGGCACCCAGTCCCTGCTGCCTCCAAGTTTGGCATTGTTTTCATTCTGTCATGCTGCGTGTCTAAGAGAATAACATGGGTATTTTCCAGTGAGTTGCCCACAGTGCCTTACAGCAGAAGAGAAACAATAAGAAAGGGAAGTGAGTTTATCTTCACAGGCACACGTTAGCTTTCCCTCCGGAACAGCCAAAAGAACAAAGAAGTATGTGAATTGTGTGTCTGAGGAAGACCTTTGGAACACCAAGCAGAAGGTCAGGGGCATGTGATAGAAACAGGGTGTTAATGAATCACCCAAGACGCCCGGCAGTTTTGGCCAGTGAGAGCTGCGTTGGCAGTGAGGAAGTAGCAGCCTGAAATCTGAATGTGGTCTGACTACAGCAGCTCAAATCCCACCTTCGGCAAGTTCAGCTTCTAATAATAACAATAATAAATGGTAATAGTTACTTAATTTAACAACTGTCTAAAAGACTTTAAATAATTAAGGCACTTTAAGGTTTTAAAAAGCCCTTACCTCACAACATTCCAGCAAGGGATGTATTACCAGGATTGCCCCACTTATGCATGTCAGGAAACTGAGGCTCTGGGAAGTTATCTGTGTTCACTCAGCTACTAAGTGTGACAGCCATGATTTACAGCCGGGGCTCTTGACCCTGAATCCAGTGACCTTCCATCACATTACCGGAGTGCAGCTTGTCGATCTCCCAAATTCTATAAATGCCTTTGCCACCTCTCTCTCTTCTTGATGCTTTGTCATGGTGCTTACAATCATCCTTAGGTCATTGTCACAGTAGAAGCATCCAGTTCTCCCTCTCCAATGACCTTGTATTTAACTGCTTGGCATATGTTTGCATTTAATCCCTTTATATTCTGAATATAAGTATAGGTAGATAGAAAGATAGATAGACAGACAGATGGATGGATGGATGATAGAGGGACAGATGGAGGGGTAATGTGATAGAGGGATACATAGATTAGATAGGTAAATAGATAGGCATATGGATAGATAGATGAATGGATAAATGGATAGATACATAGATTAGATGGGCAGATGGACAGACAGAAGCAAAGACAGACAGATGGATGGAGAGAGAAATGGATGGATGGATGGATGGATGGATGGATAAATGGACGGATGGATGGACGGATGGATGGATGGACAGATGGATGGATGGATGGATAAATGGACGGATGGATGGACGGATGGATGGATGGATGGATGGATGGATGGATGGATGGATGGATAAATGGATGGATGAATGGATGGATGGATGGATGGATAAATGGATGGATGGATGGATGGATGGATGGATGGATGGATGGATGGATGGATGGATGGATGGATAAATGGATGGATGGATGGATGGATGGATGGATGGATGGATGGATGGATGGACGGGTAGGTGGATCCTTGTTGTCTCCCTTGTTAGAACATAAGCTCCTTTTGAGCTGAGATAGTTCCATTCCTTATATCTGAATCCCCAGTACCTACCCGAGGTCATGACACATAGTAGCTGCTCAAGAAATGCTGATTGATGATAGCCTAAAGTGGGTGAGCTTAGAGGGCAGTTCTTTGGATTCCATAACTAGCTGTCTTTGGGTTACTACTTGATACCACCCCAGGCCAGAATTTAACCACAGAGACTCAGTCCTCTTAAGAAGTTTAATTACTCTAAAGAAAGTTCCCGGCTATGTCGTGTTGGATTGGCCCACCATTCAAGATGTAATTTTACTTTTGAATTCCCTTCACTAGAGGAAGAGGCCCCTTACTGCTTAGTGAGGGGCAGTTTAATTAACAACAGGCCCTCTACAACCTAACAGCTGAAAAAAAAAGAGCTAATGTAGTCAGGCTGCATCACCAAGAGGCAGAATTTCCTAGTAAAGGAAAGTGATAATCCCACTATTCTATGTTCTAGGCACCAGAATTATAGTGGGATGTTGACAGCCATGTTAGGTGGATGATAAAGAGACTTGGGAGGGGTCTCCTAACGGGGTCATACCAGGAGGGCTTGAGGAAATTGGGAAAGTTTAACCTCAAGAAGAGAAAAGTAAAAGAGGAGATGATAGATGTAAGAAAGAAGGCATAGGAGAAGAAAAGGGGGGAAAACCTGGATTTGGAATCAGAGGACCTGGGTTCAAATCCTGCCTCTTCTGCTTCCTGCTTCTGTGACCTTAGGCAATCAATCAGCAAACTTTTGTTAAGGATCTACTATATGCCTGGGATTGTACTAGGCACTGGGAATATAAACATAATACATGAAACAATTCCATCTTGCAAGAAGTTTCCCAAAGGGGAAACAATGTGTGTATATAAATGTGTTTTTATCTTAGTACTTAGCACAGTGCCTTCACAGATGCTAGTTGACTGAGTGACTCTCTTTATATTTTTTATATATATCTATATATACATATACATACACACACACACACATATATGCATATATATATATATATATATATATATTATATATATATATATATATATATATATATGTGTGTTATTAACCATTACAGAGTTCCTTCTAAGAAAGACAAACAAATTTAGGCTGCATATGTATGTTAATTGCTCTCAAAGCTGGCAGATCATGCATATAGAGATATGCATGGGGGTTCGTTGTGAAAATGAGCCCAAGGAAGGAGAGGCAAAGGGGACCTTATATTTTCAGAACACTTCCCTCTTACCCCTCTCTCCCTGCCTTCCTTGTTCAGGTTTCCTATGTCAGCCAAAATTCTAGCCTCCATATGTGTTAACCATAATATGAGAAAGGAATTTCTTAATTGGATAGATTGTAAATACAATAAGATAAGAGAATATCAAGGTGTCAATTGAAATTATATATCCAGGATGTCTGTGTTTCTTTTATCATTAATATTGACTATAAATATAGCATAACATGTGTCCATAAAATACTAAGATAAGAAAAAGTCCTATTATTCAAGATAGTGTCTGGTTCAAAGTGTCCTACCCTGGACAGTCATAAACAGAAGAATGTTCCCGATCAGCTTCATCTGACATTGTAGTTGCTGACACAGAAGGGGCATTTTGGGTTCACTCAGAGAGCAAAGTAAAGCATGTCTTATGCCAGAGCATGCAAGGCATTGTAGTAGGTTAAGCTCAGACTGGGCCAAAAATTGTCTTTCTCCTGATTGGCCAATCCAAGTTTTAGGCCTTTCTCAGGTCTTTGGGGGCATAAAAATGATCTCAAAGGATCCTCAGTATGTATACACACACACACACACACACACACACACACACATATATAAAAAATATAAAATGAGATAATTATAAAGCACTTAGCACAGTGCCTAGAACACAGTAGGTGCTATATAAATGTTGGCTATTACTATTATTATTATGTAAAACCATCAAGTCCAAGTCACTTTGCCTCTCTGGGCCTCAGTTTCCTTGCTTGTAGTAAATGATTCACCTTGATGGAATTTGTGGCCCCTTCAGCTCTGACTTATGATCCTATGTTACAGTATTTCTGTGGGGCCAGGCTGAAGGATTCTTTCCCTCTCTTCCAGATGACAGCTCTTAAAGAAGGAGGAGCTGCAAAATGATAGAGAACCCCACAAACAAGACCACAGATCTCAGAGGCATGAGAATCAGGCTTTCTCAGCAGAGAAGAACATGACCTCAGCTCACTGGGAAAGAAGGGGGAGCAGCAGATTTACCAGAGGACCCCAGACTGAATCTTGGTTCTGTACCTCAACTACCTACATGACCTTGAGTATGTGATTTCCCTTCTCTGAGTTTCTTCATCTGTAAAAATGAGGAATTTGTAGTTAATAGTCACCACGTTCCCTTGCAACTCCAAATCTAAGCTGGTGCCCAAGAGATGACCTGGAAGTAGCCTGGAGCAAAAGTACGTGGATTACTCTGGTCTGGTGTGTCAGGGAATATGAGACAGAAAGAACCACCTGTGCTGGTCCAGTGGGCTTGGTCAAGGATGCACCATCTTCTGAAGGGAGCCCAGTTTCCGTGAGTGAAAGAAGAAGCAGAGGAGAGTCGAGAAGAAGAAATCCAGGATGAGAAGAGGCTTGGTAATTACACATAGGGATTGCAGGGAGCCCAGCGAAAGAGAAGGCTAGAAGAGAAGGACCAGAAAGGGATGGGGCTGCTGAATTGAATGGGGACAAAATCAGGGAGCAGAAGCAACTCAAGGTAGTCTTGAGGTGACTGCATTAGAGGCACTGGAGAGCAGGAAGTGAGAATTTGCTTGCTGTCAAATGGGGAACTTACAATTACTTAGCGAGTGACTTGTCAATCTGGAATTCGGATGTATGTTTTCCAACTCCAAAGCCATTAAGCACTCTTTAGTATCCTTCCTTGGTAGTGTTTTATTCCTAAAAGGAGATTGGGTTCAATTAGAATACTTTCAAAATAAAAAAAACTCCCCAGCAGTTCCAATCTGGAATTTTTTTTTTTTTTAGAATGCCATTTGAATAGCCTGGCTGGAGCTGCCCCAAGATCACTCAGGAAGAGGAAGCAGGAGGCCTTTTATTATAACCTGGGTTTCCGGTGGGGAAGTCCAATGGCAGAGGTGTCCTGACTTTCCTTGTGTCTATTGTTCTCTGAGCTATTTGGCTAAGGAAGAAGCTTGGCCTTCTGGACTCTGCTGTCCCCAGCCTCCTCATGGCCAGGTCTCTTGGATAAGTGGGAGAACTTCCTTCTAATAGGGACAATGGCATCCTGGCCTTGCACCTTCCGCCTCTGCTGGGGTCCTACAGATAGCCAATGCTGCTTCCTTTCTCTTTGTCCTTATGGGCCAGAAAATGCTGTTTCAGGCTTTAAGAAGAGTGAGGCCCTTTCTTCTCCATAACGGGAATGATTTCTTAAGCTCTGGACCATGGAAAACCCTTATAATGTAATTCCTTCCTATCTCTCATTTCCTTCCTATCTCTCTTGGCATTTTGGTGATTTTACCAAGCCACACCCCCTCTGGGCCTCAGTTTCTCTATCTGTAAAATAAGAAGGGTGGTTTCCTAAGTTTCCTTCCACTTCTGATTCTAAATGCTGAGCGGGTTCTGATCTGTATTGTTAGAGGGAACTCCTATATTGATGAAATCACAAGTCTAGTTAAAAATAAAGTACTTGCCCCCCCAAGCTTCCTGCTGAAGCTCAAATGGCATACTGTATATAAAGAGCTTTTTACAGGTCTGATCGGTTATTGCTATGATTAACAAAGCTTGGGTCGTGAGAGCTGGAACACGATGGTGCAACCTTGTTATGTGATTGGTAGATTCTATACAGCCAACAAGCCAATAAGCATTTATTAATGCTGCGAATACATATACAAGCAAAACCTGCCTTTGAGGAGTTCACATTCTAATGAAGGTAGGACATTCCATAGAAGGAAGCTGAAAGGGAGAAGTGGGGAGAAGGCACTCACTTGAGGTTATGGTGGAGAAAACCGTCCTTCGAGTCAGGACTGGATCTGGAAGAGTGTGGTGAAGGCCAGTGACCTTGGAGTCGCCGAGGTGAAAGGCCCCCTCTACCAGTTCAGGTCAGCACTTTCTCTGTGGCTTCTAGCCTTACAAAACTGCTTGGGTCACTAAAACGTTGAGTGACTTGCCCTGGGCCACAGAGGGGCCAATATGTCTCAGAGACTGTTTTTTGAACCTGGATCTTTCCGGCTTCAAGGCTGGCGCTGTGTTCATTACATGATACCATCTGTAAAATGGACAATTTCTCAGGGCCCTGGTCAATTCTCAAGAGTCTCAGTTGCAGAGAAGTGCCGACCTTCATTGGATGAGAGAGTTATCTGGGAGTTGATTCCCTATGACAGTGAAATCATAGGCCCACTTTCTGTCTCTATAAATCACTTGGTCTTTGTGAATCTTAGTTTCCTTATACCAGCTAGAGATCTTGTAGATAATAGAGGTGCAGAAAGTACTTTGTAATGCTTCAGAATGCCAAAGAAATCAGATTTGCTCATTATTATTATTAATTATTATTATCATTGTACATTCATAATACAAACTCATGTGGTAGCAGTGCTTACCATAAGACACATTCATCATTTCAGAAACAAGGAGACAGGAAAATATGGTCTATGGTTGCCATTTTTACTGAACTGACCCTGTAACCACAGTAAAAACAAAACAGGAAGTAATGTCAAATTTCCTTGTATCTGTTGCTTGGAACTCACCAGTTGAAGGCATGACCACATGCCTGTGGTCAGTGGGTTTGAAACTGAGGAAGGGGCTGAAGTCTTTGTGGTGGGCTCACAAATTAAAATACGGCCTAGGACAAAGTTTTGGGGAATGCTACTAAATACCCAACAAAAGACAAGGGAAGAAGTAGCAGGAAAAATAATAAATTCAAGATTATGATTACTAGGCATCAACAGTGGGAGAGCATTGACTGCTCTAGAAATTTAAGCATACTTGTGAATTTTTTAAAAAATCATTTGTCTTAGGCATTAGGGACTCTAATGGATTCGGGATGGCTTACTTAAAACCACCAATTAATCATCTTTGACTGTAAAATCTGTAAGTAGGACCCTAATTAATTCATCTGCAATTCAATTTAACACACATTTGTTAATGCACATACAAGGAACCTGCTTGGTGCTGGTTATGTGCTTCAGCTTATTTCAACAAATAATTTTTCAAGTCAAGTCAACAAGCATTTATTAAGTGCCTACTACATGATGAGCATTGTGCCAAACACGGTGGGATACAAAGAAAAGTGGCAGACAGTCTGTGCCCTCAAAGAGTGCACTATCTAGTGGGGAAGGCTAAGCGTAGGGCTGCATGTGCTGTTGTTGTTCAGTTTTAGTTGTGTCTGACTCTTTGTGATCCCATTTGGGATATTCGTGCTGAAGATACTGGAGTGGTCTGACACCCTTCTCCAGCTAGACTATGTGTAAGGGGCTAAAAATACAGAGATGGAAATACATGCATACACACACACACACACACACACACACACACACACACACACACACGTATTCCTTCCGTAAAGGAGCTGAAGTTCTACTTGGGTGGTAGGGAGAAAGGAGAAGAGACACCTGTATAAAGGAAAGTAAGGATGATGGGGTCACAGGAAAAAAACTAGGAAAAGAGTTCTAGAAAAATCTGAGGTGGAAGAGAATACTTTGCACTTGGGCTGGGGCTTGAGAAGGCAGGAATCAGGAAAAGATTAATGATAGAGATGCATTTGAGCCAAATCTGGAAGGAGGGGAAGGATAGACTGTGCTCCATGCATGCAGCATAAACTATGCCAGTACATGGACATGGGAATAGGTCTGTTGACTTTAGGGGAACTTTAGTCGAGTTTGACTATAATGTAGAGTATATAGGGATAATCATAGCACCTGTGATTTCACTGATATAGGGAACTCCCAGTTGAGGAAACGCCTTCTAACAATGCAGGTTGGCACCATCTCAGCAACCTCGAAGCTCAGAGAGTTTCCTTGCAGGGTGAAAGGAGGGACTTGAACCCAGATCTTGTTCCATCTCTATCCACCATGCTACACTGCCTTTCCATAGGGTCTATAAAAAAGAGTAATGTGAAATAAGAAGACTTTTTAGAGATCATCTCATCCAAGCCCTTTGTTCTATAGGTGAGCAAGCTGAGGCCTGGCCAGAGTGGTGAAGTTATTTTCCCGGGGTCGCCCAGCTACTTCAGGCCTCTCTAGGTGTGTCGAGCTGAAGGCTAGCATCTTCTCCTGACACGACATTTCTTTAGCCTGTTGCACAGGGCAGACCCTCCCTTCCCCTCCCTGCTCCTCAACCCTTTTCGTATCAGCTCTGCTAACCATTGGCTGATTTTGCTCATCTTGACTTTCTCCTGCTTACTCTCTGATAATAGAAGCCCTAGCTGCAAAGGACTTACGTGATCTGAGTCTAGCCCCGCCCCTTCTCCCCCACCTCCTTGTCTTAGATGAAGCTGAAACACAAAGAAAATTCTTGCACAGGTCACAGAACTGCTAAGTATCTGAGCTGGGTTTGGAACCCAGGTCCTCTGCCTCTTCGTCTTGGGTTCCTTCCATTATACCATGATGTCATTTTGCAGGTGCTCCTGAGCGATAGACTGCCTGAAATATAGCCCTGGGAAAAAGAAAAGCAAAAGGTCACCAGGCAGCCCCTTAGCAGCTGATTCACGGGGAGTTGGCCCACGTCCAGTCTGCAGAGCTAGCCTGATGGAGGGGTGTTGGTCCCCTTTGCCTGGATTTTGGTCCCCTTTATCTCCCTTGTACATAAAGGTCGCTGAGAGCTCTCTGGGTCTAGGCAGGGCTCACCCCACCCCTCCCACAAGAATGAATCCTCTTTTAACTTCCAGCAGACAGAGGAGGAACCTCGTCAGCCAGGAAATCTCAGCTGGACAGTAATTAGTCATTAGAACTGCCTGGTCCTTCTTGTAATGCCAGAACCCTGCAGATGGTCCTGCTTTCATAGAAAGTACCTGCTCCATCCCTGCCTGGGACCTGGGTGCAGCCTTTTCTGTTTTATAGGAATATTCTGCTGTTTGGCTGAAGTTGAGAAAGAACATACGGTACTAAGGGGAAGGGAGAGAGTCAGCCAGACCAGGGGAAGAAGACCAGAAGGAGCAGAGCTTCCCACCCTCCTGAAATGATGTAGCTCCAGTAGTTGACAGTATTTTGGAGGATCCCTTTTTAGTGTCAAAAACAGCACGGGGGAAGCTACATGGCTCAGTGGATAGGGCACTGGCCTTGGAGTCAGGAGGACCTGAGTTCAAATCCAGACACTTAACACTTACTAGCTGTGTGACCCCAGGCAAGTGTCTTAACCCTAATTGCCTAAAAAAAAAAAGAAGGAAAAAAAACCAAACCAGTACAGATCCCCAGGTGATACTAGTTTTACTGTTAACAGTTGGTCTGAGAAAAGCTACCCATGAACTTAATATTGCTTTTGAATGAATTTCTATTTTATTAATTACAATAGGATCTCTATATAGTTGACAAATAGTAATTTGCATATTTACAAGACATACTATTTACTCACTCTGCTGAAAGGATGTTGGCTTATATATGTCAGTGAGTTATCTCATACTAGTACAATGTAAGCTCCAAGAG